GCACAGCCCTCCCGGCCCGGTCCCGGGGTCCCTGCTGCCCGAGGGGGACCCGGCGCAGCCGGAGAGCCGCGCCGCAGCCGGCGTTTTGTAGTTGGAGCCGAGGGGCGAGTCGCCAGCATCGCTGACACCCGCGTCTGCAGCGGGCTAGAGCGGGGGCCGATCTCCGCCGTACCGGGTCGTTACCGCATCCGGGAGGGGAAAATGGAATTAGGTTCGGATGTAACGCTCTGCCTCCCGAGCAGCAGCCGCTCCGGGCTGGGTCGCCCCAGGCTGCTCGTTGTTTCTTCCTGATCAGTAAATCAAGCGTGCGCGTTTTAGTAAAGCTGGCATCCAGTCTTCTCTTCTGGGTTTCACGGTGCAGATCTTACTAGGTGTGGTTTAGTCTGGTTTCCAACTTGCAGGCTTTTGGTCAAAATAAAGAATTAATGGTTTTTATTCTGGTGCATTAAGTATTAAAGAAGACATAGGGAAGCTGAAATATTAAACTGCCTTGATTTGGAATCGTATTACTGAACAAAACTCTGAATGCTTGATTTTGTCACAAGACACACATGACAGTTATGTCACTTCATGATGTCTCCCTCATTTTCTGCCAATATTTCTATGCTGACATGAAACAGATCAGAGATCACAAACTTTCTGATAATGGCTTTAGCTGTGAACTTTATTTTCTTCTAGGATGGTCTGATCTTTTACAAGGACTGATCAGTCGTGGTCAGGCCCGATGTAAGGTATTACGTATGTGAAAGTTGGTTTGGTTTTTTTTGTTTAATTTCCTAGCAGCATTTCAGTTTACTAAGTTGGTTCTGAAATGTACAAAAATGGGTACTTTGAGTGGATGACAGCATCAGCATATTCAAAAAGGGATTAAATGAATTAATGGACAGAGGGCCCATAAATGGATACCAAAAGGACTACATGGGAATGTACCTTCTATGTTCCTTATACAGTAATTGTGGATGCTGGGAAGCATGAGGAGAGTGAACCACACAGTGTCCAAACCTGTTTGCTTGTATAGGATAAAATCTGTTTGCTTGCATACCCTCCCACATGTCTGCAATGAAAATTATGCAGACATGGCCCACAACAGCTTCATTCTTCAGTAAAATCTATGGCTTGACGTTCCTTGCTCCATGTTGTTAACTCAAGTAACTGAACAGCAGGCACTCAGCTTGACCAAATTCATTGATGGTATGGACAGAAGGGCCATGATCCCCCCCCGCAGCATGCTGCCTGCAAAACACATCGTAACGGTTCAGCCAGGAACACCTGAATCAAGTCCATAACCTCTAGCTGAAGGAGACCTATCTTTAGAAAATCATATGACTGTAACTATATATATGTATATTGCTATTGGCTTATGTACACGTTGTTTGTTTATGTGGTATGTTGGGCATAGTCAGATGAATTCTGGTGCCTCTAGCTTAGAGGCTGAAGGGTGTCTCTTTTGGGATGTTCTAGAGGTCGTAATCCCAAGAGGAGCTGGCAGGACAAAGCCTGGCAGGTGGCAGCTGGAGCAAACTGGCAGGCAGGGCTGAGGTGCCCACATCTGTCATCTGTCAAAAGTCTTTCCAACACCGAGAGATAACACAAAGTCAGGAATAAATGACTGCCATTAAGACAGAACTGTGTGAACTGAAGCTAGGATTGTAAAAGTTAAGCTTGAGTATTTACTTTGTTAGACAGCTTTTGTGTGTGTATATAAAATAAAATGTATGTCCTTTTATAGAGCTCAGCTTCTCCTTTCTTCCTCTACTGGTTATTGCAAGACCAAATGGTTTAACATTTCTCTAAATGTGACCATTGAACTTTCACCCACTTCTGAATGTATTTTTCAGCTTGCTATTTATTACTTTCCTTTGTAGGTTTGATAGTAGACAGAAGTACATTTCTGACTTCAAAACCTCTGAAATATACTGTAATCCTTCTTTCCAAGAGCATGAAAGAAACTTCATGTGCTTCAAATACAATTAAGTGTCTTCTGCTTATGTTGAAATAGATTTGTGAAGACTCTGACAATTAAGCATGACAATTTCTTGTTAGGGATAATGTGTTTGTTTTCTCAGTGCATTAATAATCACTACCAAAAAAACATAATAAGGCTGTCACTGGCTTTCAGTGTAGTAATGATAAGGTTTTGCATTTCCATGTAGAGTTTTGTCCCAGTCAGCTACAGACTTTTTTACAAGCTTGGGACTGAGTCAGTGTCCTGGTTCAGCATGAGACACTTCAAATGTTTGAATATAATCACATGGTTAAAAAAATGCGTATTGCTTATAGGGCAGTTTCTGTGAGTAGGTTTCAAAACATACTACAGAAGGGGACCGATACTGTTATCCTAATCTTAAATTGGGGGGAACAGAGATAGGAAGAGATGGAGTGCCTTATCTGAGGTCACAAAAATTCCAGTGGTGGAGCTGGAAACTGAGCTGGGTTTTCAGAGCCTTGTTCCTGCGCCCTCTTTAATGTCCTGTGCTGCCCCAGAATGAAAACAGAAACTTAGACTTTAATAATATTCATGAATTGATGTGAGAGTGCTTAACTGAGAATGAGAGTAATTTGCCCCTTTCACCTGTCCCAAAATGGGACATGGTAACATTTTTACAGCAAACAGTGATAGAACACAATTTTAGATCAGAAATGAAAAACTACGTACATACATCAGAACTTGGCTCCACTGAAATTTGGACAACCACATAAAATTAATTATGGGATTGAGCCATGGACTAAACCATAGTTATTGTTTTACTTGGTGTCTGTCAAGAAGTGTCTAAAGCAACATTTCATAGTTCTGCTGTTAACAGCAGGATTGTTACAGGCATTTTTCACTCTTACTCTAACCCCTCTCCCTTATTGGAATAAAGAGAGCAGCATAGGTTTATTTAATAAGCCCTTTGAAAAAAGTTATTTCTGAACACCGTTGTCAAGATACTTGCTATTCTGGTGCACGGCAAGGAAGAAAGGATTTTTTCAAACTGGGACAGCTGTTAGCAGAGGTTTGGAAGGACAAATGGGTTGGCATAGAGGCCATCAGATAGACGCATATGGAAGAAGGCAGCCAGTTGTACAGGGGAGAAAACTATCCTCGTATTTGTTCTCATCAGCCAAGTGATTCCTTCATGCTTCTCTGCCACTCACTTGCTTTCGGAATAAAATCTAGGGCATGGGACATCAACATTCAGGATTAGAGAAAACAGTAATTAGTTCTTTCTAACATTTTAATATATATCTATCCATATATTTCAGAGTATGTGACTTATGGACAGATGTAAATCATAGTTGTAGCCAGCCAAGTAAGTTGTCGATGTTTTTGCATGCAAGAACACCGTCTTGGAATTGGTTTACGGTAAACCAGGTTGCTAGTTGTGGCGGCTAGGTCTCACAGCAGTGGCACCTGAGCAGAAACTGAACCACACTGGAAGTCCAATTTGCAGTAACAGATAACTTCTGTCTCTATCTAGTATAAAAGCAGATCATCATGGATGAATAGGTATATGCACAAAACCTTACCTTAAAGTGTAATCTAGTTTCTGCTTCTAATTAATAAACTGTAAAACAGTCTTGGCTTCTTTTCAGTTCTAAAGGAAATACATAAAACTAAGAGCACTTGCCTTTGAGGACTGTCTTTATATGACAGCATTAAAAATAGGTATTCTTTACTGGGCAATAATGCACCTGCATTAAGAAATGATTCTGTAAAATAAAAGAAAATAGACATTCACCTTTAAACAGGATAAACTGCCTGAAATGCACACAAAACAATATGCTAAATGGGGAAATGATCCTGTTTATTTTTCACTAATCTCTATTATTGACTACAGATACTGTAGTTGGCATTTTGGACTCTAATGTGTTTTGCAAAGTGATGGCCAAATTGAGGATCGTGACTGCATCTTTTAAGGTAGGAAGTTTAGTCTTAGACAGTTCAGTCTCCCAGTTCCAGCATCATGACTCATTTTAGTCATGAGTGAGATTTGGCGCAGTCTCAAGTAGTGTAGTATGAAAAAAGAGCCTTAGCTGTTTGCTTAATTCCTGATGCTGCCGAGGCCTGAAAGGTCAGTGCAGGACCTTTGGTCTGACCAGCTGTGAAGGCAGTAGAGGAAGCAGCTGATAGATTCAGCTCGGCTTTAGAGGCGCGCTGCCTTTGTGCGCTGTCTGAATGTGACCTGTTGCAATAATTTCGTGGCTAAAGGTCAGAGGTGTGAAGCCAGATAGTGTCAGCTTTGGAAGTCATACAAGGACAAAGAATCCCAATGCGCTGAGTACTGTTAGAGGTTAATAGACATTAGCAACAGAAAAACTTTTTTGGATTTTTTTTGTGATACAGAACACATGACTAATATAGACTAAAAGTCCATGAGGGAGGTAAGCATAGTAGCAGTGAGCATTTGAGGTTCTTCATGAAATTACCAGCTGAGGAGCCAATAGAAGAATCCTGATAGTTTAGGGACAGATATTGGTGATTAAAGGTGAAGTAATGGTGCCTCTCTAGAGCAGTTATTTGTTCATTCTGTCTGCTTTTTATCACAAACCTGACTCCTTTCTTCACTGGTTGAAAATTTTCTCCTACATCAATTAAATCTTTCAATATCTGGTACTCCTCACCAAAGAATTTACCAGGAGGAAGGTGGCAGTCTTGAACAGTTTAGTCTCTAGGGGGTCCCTGGGTTGTCCCTGCCTGAAAACCCCTGTTACAGGGATGTCCTGGTGAAAGAGAAGGAGGTTGTGGCTGTAGTGGTTGCTTTGCCTGACTTATTGGAGAGCTGGGGAGCATTACATGTGAGTGTAAATCACACCGCTGCCAAGGCAGCCATGGGTCATGGGTAGCCAACGGTCCCAAAATGAAAAGCTGCAATCAGAAATGAGCAATAGATTGTCAGTAGGGCTACTGTAATACGTTGTCGTGGTTTAACCTCAGGCGGCAACTGAGCACCACACAGCTGCTCACTCACTCCCCCACCCCCTGGTGGGATGGGGGAGAGAATCGGAACAATGCAGTTGCTCACCACCTGCCGACCGATGCCCAGCCAGTCCCCGAGCAGCGGCCCCCCCGGCCAGCTTTCCCCAGTTGATGTACTAAGCATGACGTTCCATGGTATGGAATGTCCCTTTGGCCAGTTTGGGTCAGCTGTCCTGGCTGTGCCCCCTCCCAGCTTCTTGTGCACCTCCAGCCTTCTCAGTCAGTAGAGCATGAGAAGCTGAAAAGTCCTTGACTAGTGTAAGCACTACCTAGCAACAACTAAAACATCGGTGTGTTATCAACTTTGTTCTCATCCTAAATCCAAAACACAGCACTGTACCAGCTACTAGGAAGACAATTAACTCTATCCCGGTCAAAACCAGGACATATGTCCACAGTGGTTATTTGCTGAATTGGTTCAAACATCAGCAAAATACTCAAGTTTGCCTCGCTAGCCTGCCTAGTCCTTCTCTCCTGGGGTCTTCCTGCTCATCCAGCTCTGCCTCGCTTCCCAGCAGCTGAGCTCTCTCAGTATGTGTCAGACCATTACTCAGTCCAGTCCATAATGCTGTGAAGTTCACCAGCCATGTTTCCCCAGTTACCTGTTCAGAAAACAAAAGTGTTTATTCAGATGGATGCATAAAGTTACATGGGAAAACTTTCGACTGTGACCCAGACTGAGTGATGTGCGGTGTCTGTGGCTGGCACAGCAATTCAGGGCTAATTGCCCACAGGGCTTTCATCTTTATACCATCTCCTCTTTTATGTGAGTGTGTCTTTACTTTTTCCTGTAGTCTCTTAATTTCCTCCTTGTCCTTTTGCTTTCTCTTGCTTTTCACTAGCTTTTATTATTACAGCACTGTCTTCTCTCCCTTTTCACCAGAGAACATCACTTTCTCTCTTCCACATGCATATACACACACACATAATTCCCCAATATATTTAAGTGCTATATGTGATAGCCTGTAACAGTCCTGCATGTTGTCACAGCAAGGGTGGTAAAAATCACTAATACCGGCAAAGATCAAACCAATTATTGCTCACATGAGATGACCAGATAGTTTTATAATGGATTTAAGGCCAGCTGTGGACTGCTGCCAAAAGGGCTGGTCCCATCCTTTCCCCCACTCCCTCTTTCCTGCCTTGGGTTATCAGTAAGATGGTGACCTGGCTGAAGTTTAATGCTGTTTCTCTGGTTTTGCTGGGTTCATGTTGAGCTGGTGCAGCAAGGTCATGCTCTGAGGCTTTGCGTTCGTTAGTGCCAACACGAGAAATGTGCCAGGGAAGCACAGCCAACATGATGGGCAGGTCTGCCCTTTGGGTGGTAATGTAGTCCTAGAAGAGAGTTAGCCAACCATTAAACGCATCTTCTTCTGCCAGTAGTTATATTACAGAGTGATAAGATATATCTATTTTAAAGATTTATTTATAGAGGGGAAAAAATAATTTTATTTGTAAGAACTTGTAAGAGGCTGTAGCGAGGTGCGTGTCGGTCTCTTCTCCCAAGTAACTGGCGATAGGACGAGAGGAAATGGCCTCAAGTTGCGCCAGGGGAGGTTTAGATTGGATGTGAGGAAAAATTTCTTTACTGAAAGAGTGGTTAAACATTGGAACAGACTGCCCAGGGAAGTGGTTGAGTCACCATCCCTGGAAGTATTTAAAAGATGTGTAGATGAGGCGCTTAGGGACATGGTTTAGTGGGCATGGTGGTGTTGGGTTGACGGTTGGACTCGATGATCTTGGAGGTCTCTTCCAACCTTAATGATTCTATGAACTTTGGACAAGACTAGCTCTTTGCCAGCAAAAAGTGCCATCCTGATGCCTTATAAATGACAACCAAATAGGCTGATTAGATAAATATACTTCCAAAGAATCTGTATGATAAGTGCTTGGCAAAAAAACTGCCTATGCCTACCAAAAAAAATTAGGACTGTTGCATCTGTGCCCTGGTGTACAAAGCATCTCTTCCAGGTTTTTAGATTCTTGGAAAGAATCTATTGGGGGGGGGGAAGAATGAAAACATGTGATGACCTGCGGATGGCCACAGTGCTCTGTGGGTTAAAGAACAGGGCAAAACACTTCTCAGTAAACAACACTAACTAGCCTTGAAAATAAAACATTTCTGATTCCAGGGAACATGTGGTAATCTCTTCTACAAAGAATGTGAACTAAAGGGGGAGAAAGCTAAAATGGGACGTCTATTGCAACACAGTCAGGCTAAAAAAAATGTACAAAACCATTGTTTTCCCTGGCAGTATTTCTAAAATTGATGCCCAGTGGTTACCTTCTGTGGGAGCCTCCATGGGGCACACAGAGGATCAGATTTTTAGCTGGTTACATCAGTGGCAGCCCAACAAATTGTCTGCCAAATAATTAATAGATGTATTGCTCTTCAGATTTCAAACTCGAACTGGGTTTTTCTGTGGGAATTTTTAAGTAATGGTGGGAGAAAAGAATGATCTGAAATTCAGAGATACAGACAGCCTTGTGATTTCAGCATTTCTTCCCACCAGGTGGATACTTTGTGTTTCTTCTCCCAGAGAAAAGCCTTGCAGTACAAAGAAAAGGTATTCCATCCAAAAAGCAGCAAACATCTTAAAATTTTGATTCCCACCAAACTATCTCAGCAGGGTGACGTTACCGCAAGTTAAAGCAAGAAAAGAAAGCAATTTTTGTAAATTCTTGTTTTGGAAGTGGATTCCTCTCCCCGCTCACATAGCAGCCCATTGTACTTGCATAGACTTTTTTGGGAAAAATTTCAAGAACTGTCTTTTTCTACAGCAACCTGCAGTGGAAGTGGGGCTGTGCAGTGCCTTTTCTATACAGCACCTGCCTGAAAGCCAATATTTCATTTTCCTTACATTCAAACTAATGATAACAGATTAAAAAGTTACATGTAAGGAGCTGGGGGTATAGACCTAAGGAGGCAGATATTCTGTGGCATGGTTGCTGCTGAATGCTTTGAAATTTGCTTTTCCTCTGGAGGTGTGTGTTTGCCTCCATTAGCCCTCCCTTCACCGTGAGCAGGCACTCCTGCCAGAGAAGCTGAAACTTGGCACTAAAAGTGGCTGCGAAAATGGTACTGCAGAAGTACAGTAAAGAAACCCAAGTCAAGAAAATGAGATAGTTGTCCTTGTGAACAGGTAATAGAAACCAGAAAGGCACTGTGAAACTCTTATTTGCAAAATCATGTCTGTCATGAGGAACCAGACTTGGCTTCCACTTAGTTTTTGTACAGGTTAAACTAGGGCAACTGTCCGTTCTTCACAACGTGAACGCGGTCAGACCGGTGCCTGGGTGACCCTGCTCTCCCAGGTGTCAGCACCTTTAATTCATACTAGCAGGTTTGCGCTGTACTGGTGGTACCAGCAGAATTAAAACAGTAAAACAGTTGTGTGTAGACAAGCTGCACGGCTCCTAACAGTACACTTTTTCTTCCAAGTATCTGTTACCTGTATGTAAAATAAAAGGTCACCGCTGACAGTTTTCTTTATGGTAGTGGTCCTAAAGATATACATTAGGCATATGTATTAATTTTAACTCCCAACTTCATTGCCTTGACTGAGAAAGTTGTACAAAAGGCTTAGCTGATTATCCTATTTCTAGCCTTCATTGCTAGGATAGAGATTAACTTTGCAAAAGGAGAAAGATGCCTACTACTTTTTAATGGCCAGTCTCAACATCGTAGTCCCTGCAGTCCTTTGGCTTACCCTTTGCCGCCCCTTTTGTACCAGCTAGGGAATAGGAACAAGTATGCATTACAAATAGTGTGCGAGTCATATGTGGGGAGCAGGTCGTAACCATTTAGGCTGGAGGAGTGCCTTGGATCCCAGTACTGTTTGCTGAGAGAAACAGGTTCAGGGCAAAGTTTAAAAATTAAACATAAAAATCCTGGATAGCCAAAGGGGATAAAATCTCTCTCCTTCTACCATAAGGGGACAGAAAGAGCAGATCGTTCTTCATTTTTTTGTAGTGTTTTACACACCCGCACAAAAGAAGTAACGCGCTTTAGTGTCTGGGGTTGGGGAAAAAAAAATAAATCACTAACCTGCCATGGTTCTTGGATAGCATCTCAGATCCTTCCCAATTCAGCAGGTAAATACAGGACAAGCCAATAAAGAAGCATTATATTCCTTTGAGACCATTCCTGTTTTCAAATTTCTTTGCAATCCTTGAGAACTTTCTTAATTTGTAGGTGGAAAGACTTATGCTTTGGGGTGGAACAAGAGAAATACTTTGCATTTTTGATACATACCACTACAAAAATTTCGCCTGTGCGGTATTGCCCTCTGCTGGCAATGGTCCGCGGAGCTTCACAAGTCCCACAGTGGAGCACGCTGGTGAGGTTCATCTCCTTTTGGAAGTGTCTTTCAAAGGCAGCGATCTGAGTGCTCATTCACAGTTGTCTTGATCCACGTAGTGCTCGTGGTTTGATTTATTTTGACAACAGAGAATCTTTTATGGACAGGGTTTTGTTTTAATACAGCTTTAAAAGTATTAGAGGTCTTAGATAATCATTCATTTTCCAGTGAATGTTCTAAGAATCCATATTCATTTTCATATAGGACCTGCCCTTTGAAGACGGTTGCATTACACATCAGTGCAGTATCATATGATATGCTCTGAAGTAACAGAAATCTCCTTTTTTCTTTTTTCTTTTTTTTTCCTAGTGTCACCTGATACACTATCTGAGACTCAGCCATCACCTGATAGTTCTGAATTACTTGATTTGTACCTTTGACAAGCTGAAGTCTGTCTCCTCTGAAGACATTAACATCACGGATGCTATTTTTGATGGTGTGGAAGTCAGAGTGTTTGAACCTCCTGCAAAGCGAGATGAAAGGCTCAAGCGCAGCGTTGTTTACATCCATGGAGGGGGCTGGGCCTTAGCAAGTGCAAGTATGTGTCTGCCAGTAATTAAATAGGATTCTGGTCTGGTTTTCTCCTAGCGGAAGCCAAAAGCTGTTTTTCCTGCCAGGGGTGACAATTTTGCTAAGACGTACCTGAATTCAGCAGTAACTGTCTCCACTCGATCAGCTCTAAGGAGGGAGGGGAAAAATATTGTGAACACACAGCAAAAATGCATATCTTATCTACACATGAGTTGTAAAAGGACCAAAAGGTTAATTTTGTTACATCCTGAGAGGACAAAATAGCTTATTGTTTAAATTCCTGGGATGCCTGGATGGGCTGTTTGGGCCAGTCCCCCGTTTTCTATGGTCCTGTGCAAATGTCGATCCTTGATGATCAGGATCCAGTATAAGGGTTTTGCCCCATTTTCACACAATAATTAGTAGAAGAGTGGGCTGAACAACACTGCATGTAGCAGCATTGCTAATGTTTGGCTCTTAAATAACGCATACGTGGGAATACGTGCTGCTGATCACAGACAACAGACAGTGTGATGAAGGAAATGGGTGGAGGTCGGTGCCCGTCCCATGGCTTGGCCCCCTCCCTTAGGGGACCACTGCCACCACTAGCAGCAGTTACCTTGAAAATTAATGCTATTTACTCCAATTAACTTGGAAGCCACAAACATGATCAGAGAAAGCAAGGTATAGCTATAGACAATGGTAAGTTAACCACTGATCCTTCCATGTCATACAGGAGGAGAAAAGCCTTGGGAGGAGAAAGGGCGTGTGGTTCTCATGGCTGCCCCGAGATCCAGATCCGATAGCAGTCTTCCCCCATTTCCTTCCCCATTGCTCCTGAGATGCCATGAAGTCCATACAGCCCTGATGCATTCTGTGGCCTCATCTACAGAAAAAGAACATTGATGGGGTTTTCCAAAACGTTCCAAAACAAAGACTGTATTGATTGCATTTGGACTATGCATGTATAAGTCACTTAGACCATGATTTAAGAGAGATTTAGGTTCCAAAAATAACTGTAAAATCTGTCCTTTGTGTGCCTTTGGAAATCCCAGTCTCTTTGTCCTATAGCAGTTAAAAATATTGCTCCTCTTCCTACAGAGGAACTGTGCTTTGAGATGGGTTTTCTTAGGCCTGCCTAAGGGATGTTTCTTAGTGTCCTGCCCACCTCATTTGTTCTGTAACAGTTTGCATATGACTCTTGTTGTGCAGAAGTTTATATTAAATTACTGCGCTTTGTTTGGATGACTATAACTCAGCTATGTCAGATGCTATCTTCGAGTCCAAGATGCAGAAGTTAATGGCACAAATGTTACAGCTAAATATTAAATTCTAAGACTAGATACTTTAGAAAACGCTTAGTGTCTTAGTATATTTTATAGTACCGGGAACCAACGATGAAGTAACTGGAAAGGAATAAAATTAAAGAAAATCAGTCCTGATAAACTGATAAATAGCATAGCTGTGATTTATCCTCCCTTAAATGAGTAGTTCAGTTGATGCTAATAGGGCAACTCATTTGAATCAAAGCAATGCATGCTATAATAAAATGAACAACAAGCAGTGACTCATACAGTGATAACTGTCTCTGGATGCTAATGCCCCCAAGCCACTGGGTACCTTAAATTTTGCCCAACTGAGAGAATTGTGATAGGTGGATGAAATGACATGCGCCAAGTCACCAAGAAACATATGAGAAAGAAAGCAAGCATTAGACTGCAGGACTTCTTAAGGCATGAATTATACTCGTTCCACTACAATATGTATTTGGCACTTTATTGCAAGCTGATCTCGTTTACTTTGCTTATATTTGTATTATGTCTTTATATTTTCTGAGAAGGGTTACGTACGGATTTGCAACTATTGACATAAATGGACTCTCATGTCCTTTCATTCCAGGAACAAGCCTTTATAACAATCTCTGCAGAATCATGGCTGAATCTCTCAACGCTGTCGTTGTCTCAGTTGAGTGAGTAATCTAAAACTAATCGAGTAATTTTAAAGTGTTAGAAATATGTAACGTAGTTCTTATAGCTTTTCCCTTTTTACTGGCTTGTGTATAAGGCTTTAACTTGGACAATAATTCTCTTTACCAGTCTGATATTTTTACCCTTTTAAAATTACAACAAATTGGAATGGTATCGAAAATTCATTTGGGTTTCTAATTACTTTAGAGGTCATTTTAGAAGGCAGAAATGTGGGAAAAGAGAGTAGCACTTAATTCAGTTGGATAAATACTAAAATGCAAATTTTAATGCATCTTGCAATTGTATCTACATGTACGGAGTGCAGCTAAAACCTGAGATCACTCAAGTGCCAAGTTATGATTCTGTAAATACTTGGGAACTTTAAAAACAATCAAACAAAAACCCTAAACACATTTGGACATGATATATACCTGAAGGAAGGCTGAACCACATCTCTGTGCCTCCTCATGTAGCAAGAGGGACTTTTCCCATCCTCAGTGGCCACTCCCACTGCTGCAAGTCATATTTTATATATATATTAAAAATATATGAAATATTAAAATATATATATTAACCCCCCCTGAAGTCTGTCAATAAACCACAGTTTCTAAGTCATATTGAGCAAGGGTCTGCGACATAAAAATTATGAAATCATTTTACCCCTGCTCATTAGCCAGAATACACCGTGGAGCCTGGCAGTTTCCTGCTGCTCTCTCAATCTCCCACTGTTCCAGTCATCTCATTTAAGCCTTGTACTCCACTCAAGCGCAGAGGACTGCAGGGGTGCCAGACAACAGAGAAGCAGGGCTGCTTTTTTAACTAGCTGAACAATTCCAAGGTAAACAAACCTCTCAACTAGCTAACTACATTACCTAGATGACTCCAACTTGATTGGTACTTTTCCCATCCTTATTGTCAACGTTAATATTTTCTTTTGCAAACCCAATCACTTGATATAACTACTCAAGTTTCCCACCTGCAGTTGATTACATACCAAGCTCTGTGATCTAATTGCAGCTTAATTATATGGAGTTGATGTTATACACATTCAATACTTATAGCGCACTTTAAAGGGCCGCTTTTTTTTTTTTACTTCTTTGTTGCTTATTAGTAGAAACAATGAACAGTAAGAAAGCAGCTGTTGGTTATTCCAGACGAGCAGCGATCACCGTATTGAAAAGTTCCTTATTATTCCTTTTCTGGTTTATGGTGGTATAATTCTGCCTGTTTCTCTGAGTTATTGTTTACCTCTTCTCCTTAGCCATTATATCTTTCAGTCAAGGCATTTGTACTCAATTAATGAAGACTAATTAGATTTCTCATTGGTTTAATTGCACGTCTCGCTTTCATGATATATGCACCGTCTGTTACCCAGTTTTGCAAGGAGTTCCCAAAGGACTTTCTCATATTCCTTTGTAGTTGATGCAATATATAGATTGCTTTCTGAAAGTAGGTCAGATTTGGAGTTTGAAACACTTTTCATGTAACCTAAGTTTAAAATTTATTCTGCATATGAAACTTTTTTTAGCTTAGATTCTGAAGAAAATATTTTGAATCAGAAAACTGGATTTTATTTTGCTTGTTTTGCTCGGCTCTACTGAGAAAATGTAAAATCTGTTGATTGAAAAGCTACAAACAGAAGACATGCTTTGTACCATAAGGCCTAGTAACAACTCTTAGATTACAAATTATTCAGTAAACATGAACAGACTTCTCCTGCACTGTTATTTAGAAAGTGAGAAAATCTCATGAATGGGACTCAGCTGCTGACTCTTCCTGGGCAGACTGTTTGCTCTCTGTGCCTCAGTCTCTCCACCTGTGCAATGGGTATATTCCTGCTCCACTCCTCGATAAAGAAGAGGAATTACTGAATCTGTTGCATTGGAGCAAATTGATATTCACTGTTTGGCTATTGTTCATTTCATGGCACAGAGGTATAGCGAGGTTCATTCTCTCCTGAGCATAGGTAAATTCGGGAAACAGAACTGCTTAGCTGTTTGGCTCTGTGGAATCCGTTGGTCGTATGTGACTTACTCTCCCTTGTACTAGTTAAGGTGGGGATTTGGATCAAAACCAACCTGATTGTAATGACTCCCTTGCCAAGGGTGTTTTAAATATTCATTTTTATATGTCTGATGAAATCCTCTATTGGGAAATTCTAGGAAAGTGCTGCACAATTTTATACTATCTTGTCATTAGTCATATCTAGTGGGTTCATATTAATCTTTCAGAATTAGAGCATTAATTATAAGATTAAGTCTTACAAAAGTATTACACACCTCATGTTTTTCCCGTAATATTTATCCTAATGAAATAGTTATTTGCCATTAAGGAATACCTGATATCACCTATTAATGCTGAAAGAGAGGTACAGCAACGGTAATAATTGTCTCTCATATCTTTTCTTTGTAGATACAGGCTGGTACCAGAGGTGTGCTTCCCCGAGCAATTCCATGATGCTTTTCGTGCTACTAAGCATTTTTTGCAGCCTGATGTCTTAGCTGAGTATTCAGTTGACCCAAGCCGAATTGCAATTTCTGGCGATAGTGCAGGAGGAAATTTGGCAGCTGCTGTGTGTCAGCAGGTAACATCCAGTGTCTGTTATGTATTACACTATGACAATCCCTAATTCAGTGATGCATATAGGTTGACAGATTCTTTGTGCTGTGTCATCACAAGGTGATGTGCCAACCCTAAAGACAGAATGGTAGAAAGCCAGCATCTAGTCACTTTACCGAAGAAAAATGAGTCAATCACGATATGAATCACATAGCTTGCAATGTCTTACTACAGTTACGAGTTGTTATGGGCCAGATTTTAAGAGCAAGTAGCTAAATGACTTTTTTTACCCCTTTTGCTGGTGAATTCTTTATTTTTCTAAGTAGGTAACTAACTACACGTGTAATTTCTCAATTTAGCTTCCTATTTTTAGATGCTCGTCTCTGAAAATATATTTTTATTTCTTTCAAATGAAGGACAAACTATACAATAAATGAAGCTTAATTCTTCTATTAAATTGTCTTCCTGTAGCATTTTGCAATTTTAAGGAAATTTCTTCTGTGTATCTGCAGTTTAAATGTAATCTGAATTTAATCTAGTAAAGATTTTAAAGGCAGCCTGGGGCAAGTAATAATATTTTTCATGGTTGAGTGAAATATTATTATTAGCTTTTTGTATTGCCATAACCATTGGTGATGAGAAAGCAGATACCATGTCCAGGCAACTAATTATCATGACAACCTTGCACTATTGAATTAGGGTGAAAAAATGAATAAGGGACAATTACACTAAAGTTTCAATATCAAGGACTGATGAACATGATAGTACCATGTTTTGGAAGCAGCATTCCTAATTCGTTTCCCTGATGCATAATTCTTTTTAAATCAGTGATGTAGGACTGTTTCGGGGAGAGGTTAAATACACTAAGGTTCTTCAGCCTGAAAAAGAGACAGACAAGATGAGATATGATAGAGAACTGTGTATCTTGTGTAGAAGATGAAGCAAAACTCGTGTTTGCTGATTCTTCCAGAAAAAGATTAGGGGGCACCAAATGTATAATTGGTAGGCTCAAATCAAATGCAGATGGCAGGTTCAAGTCAAACACAGAGAGGTGCTTCTGTACATAGTGAGCCTTTGCTAGAGAAAACTGTGGAAGCCAACAGTTTGCATATGCGCAAAAAACCAATTAGATAAATTCATGGAAGAAAAATCCATGAAAAACTGTTAAAAGCAAGAATAGCTCCTTTGATTCAGGAAGACCTTCAGTTGCAAATTGTTAAACTGGGAACTGTGTTAGCTAAATGCCACTTTACAATTATTTTTTTTTCTTCTTACACCTTTCAACTTCTGCCAATGATTTCTGTTGGAGGCAGGATACTGGATGGCCATCCTTACAAGAGAAGAAAAAGATCAGGCTGCTAATATTTCAGCCAAAAGAGCGACATTACCTGCATAAGAACAGAATTCAGCCTAAAAATTGTCAAATGAGTGGTGGCTTATATGAATTTAAGGTTGATATTGTAATGTTTATTTTTTTTATAATCCCAATTCTATCCTATATTCTTCCCACAGCTTAGCAAAGATGAGCATTTGACCATCAGACCAAAACTGCAGGCCTTAATTTATCCTGTCCTTCAGGCATTTGACTTCAATACACCTTCTTATCAGCAAAACATGAATATGCCCGTTCTTCCTCGTTATGTCATGATCAACTATTGGATAGATTATTTCAATGGTAACTATGACTTGGCTCACTCACTGCTGATTAACAACCACACTGCTCTTGACGTTGGCCAAGCTGTCTCTTTCAGAGGACGTCTGAACTGGACATCTCTACTACCTTCATCGTTCAAAAAGAACTACAAGCCTGTAATACAAACCACAGGCAAGGCTGAAATCATCCAGGAGATACCAGCTCTGCTTGATGTACGAGCAGTCCCACTCCTTGCAGAAAATGAAACTCTGCAGCTGCAGCCGAAGACTTACATCCTGACCTGTGAGAATGACGTCCTGCGAGATGACGGGGTGATGTACGCCAAACGCCTGGAGAACGCCGGTGTGGAAGTCACGCTCGATCACTTCGATGACTGCTTTCATGGCTGTATGATATTCACCATTTGGCCTACTGATTTCTCTGCAGGCATTCAGACCAGAAACAGCTATATAAAATGGCTGGATGAAAACCTCTGAAGAAAGAGACTCTCTAGAAGACACAGAGTACTCAACTCTGGTGTCGGTTCTTGCAAAAGAGCAAACAATGAAAAAGTGCACTTTTCCAAATTCAGACTTCATCCATTCAGCTGCAGCTGCTGGGGGTTACAGACCACTAACTACAGCATTTACTAGCTCATTTGGCCTTGCCCAGCAAAGTATTTTGAGAAATACTTTTTCAAACTTTGATTCCCCGCCCCCCCCTTCTTTCAGATGATAATTGCCAAACATAAACAAGTGTTGAGCAGGGAGATCAGCATTCCTGTAGCATTCTTAACTGGCTGCAACTTTCAAGCTTTGACTCTTAATTGGGCACAAGGGCCACGATTTTCAAATGATGTGAGGTAAAGCCAAACACCTACATCTACATCTGAATATGTAAAAATGGGAGCTAGTTTTCAACAGTGGTGAGCACTTGATGTCAAAGAAAGCGTAAGCGCTCTCACCTTTGACAGCAGAGCTATGCATTTGAATGTCAAGCATGGATTTAGGTGTTGGCTTTCAGGCACATAGACAAATGGCTCATTTAAATTTAAAAAAAAAAAAAGTTCTTCTAGGCAGTTAAGATGTTGCTAGACAAGTCTCCTAGCAAAACATGTAATTCAGCTTTGGAATTTGATCTTTATTGCCTTTTAGTTATTTATATTTTATAAAAGCACAGGACTAAATATATTTTCAATAAAAAGTATTACAGCATACATACAAATACATAGGATAAAATGCTATGTGTAGCAGCAGAATGCAGGTTGTTTATGTGAGCTTCAAAGCTGACTACTTACTTGGCTAAAGAATGTGACTTCGGCAGTGTTTAAAGCCTCAGCTTCATGACCTCCTAACAGAAAATACTGAGAGTACTAAAAAAAAATCTACTATGTGGTTTGCACTAATGTTTGTAATAATAGTAGTTTTTGTTCATTGACTTTTCTTTTGTGCTTGTAGTGTTTATTATATTTCATGCTTCCTGGAAGGAGGGAAGCAAGGAAATAGAAGTGGGCTCTAATCTATATGGAAGATTTAAATCTGAGCTTTGCAGCTAAACTTTGTCTTGGAGACTGACCCAAAACGCTAGGTAAGATGATCTCACTGTTGTGCAACAAATCTCTACAGTTTGAGCCAGTCTGTAAATTCCAGACAAGCAGGACAGGGAAGTGAAACAACTTGCGGCAGTGTATATTGTCCAGGATGCTTACTGCTTGCAGAAATGAAGGTTGTGTCAAAAGCCCAGTGTTTCTAGGCAAAGAGGAGAGAATGGCTGTCCCACGACTAAACTAGTGGATTAAATTCATCCTCAGCTTTACCACAGACTTCCTGTGGGACTCCAGGAGAATAACTTAATCTCCTTACGCTTCACTTTCTTCTTCTGCAAGAGAGGGAACAGTAATTTCCTACCTCACAAAGGAGCTGTGAAGCTGAATCCACAGGTGTTGGTGAAGCACACGGATGTGACGGTGACTGGCAGGCACTGAACAGCTCCCGTAGCTTTTGACTTTCCATCCTTCTCTAACAGCTGGCTGGGAGCAGCCAGCCCCATGGTGGGGGGTGCTGCTAGACTGCGGGTCCTCCTGGGCAGTTAGCTCATCTCTGTCCTGGCTCCTGTGAAAGTACCGTAAGGTGAGGCTTCTTGGCTGTTGGGAGATCATGACAAAGGCAGTTTCATTGGAGCATTTCTTATGGCAGGATTCTGAAAAGTTCTTTAAAAAAAAAAAAAAAAGGCACTGGTAGATCAAACTGCCTTTTATCATTTAAAATATGTACAGACCAGTCCTCTTTCACTGGTATTTAAATAAGAGAATGGCTTGGCTGAATCACTGCTTCCTAAAAACATCAGGTTGTTAATGTGGCTGTATGTATTAAGAAAAGCTATTAATGAGACAAGGCCTCGATGTAGACTCAGTCATGCAGGCTGAAACTCATTTCTGGGCATAGGTTCACACAGAGGTCACAAGCCAAAGCTTTTTCAACAGTGGCTCAGATTCTTCTTGTTACAAAGACTCAGTGGAATTAGAGCGGCCGAGTGACAATCTGAATCAGAATAAATTTCGGCCAAGATATCCAGTTAACACTGTGGAAGAATTCAAACTTTTTTTCTGGATTTAAACCCTCTTTCCTCCTTTTCCCCCATAAACAGAACTTCAGTTGATATAGTTTACACTTAAAACAGACAGCAACCAAAGGTATGTCCATTCTAAAGACAAATTACTAATCTTGAAGAAGGGTCTGCTCCAGCGTCCTTTCCACTGTATGGAGACAGCTCCATGTACTTCACTTTAGACCATGACTCACGAAGTAAAAAAATATCGTTACGCTGAGTTGTAACAACAGGCTTCTTCCTGGTTTTCCCACTTAAAGAGTAAACCCATGTCAGAAAAGATGTAATTTATATCCACCTGCCGTCATTAAAAGATAATAGGAACTATAGTACTGAGAAAAAAGTGGTTAATGTTCCTATAAATTCTATAATAATTAAGTTTGCCTGAGAGCTGTCTGCAAAGCTTTAGATCAGCATTTGTTTATATCTAAGTTATAAATATCTGCTAGGAAACTATAATATAATTACTGCTCATTTGTTTTTTTTTTAACTGAAATGAAATGGAGAGCTGGAATATATATTGATGGAGTCAGTTGTAAATTTCCTTCATGCACTGAAGCACATTAAAGTCTTGGCACAAGAAATGGTAGTAAGTATATAACTGGACTGAATGTGTTTACTAAGTCACCACCAGCTTGATGCGACATCCAAGATCACAGCACAACTTGGATGAGATATTACAGTATTAACTAGTTCTGTCAAAATATCTTGACTAGTTTTATCATTCAGCTATATGGTTTAAGTACATGATAGCTGCAAAGATATGTGACAGATCCTGAAATGGACGGATTAAAGATAAAATGGACGGATTTAAGATAAAAAGAGGTCTGAGTTCCAGGTATAAAAAAGCCTTTTAGTATATAGCCACACAAGACACGATTAAAATTCAGTGTAAACCTTGAAGTAAGTGTTAGTCCAAATTCAGCTTTCCTCCTACTTTGCTTTGTTTTCCTTTGCATGCAGTTTCCGTGCCTGAAGTTGAAAGTTTAGGGTTGTTTCCAGCTGAGCTGCTGCAAGCTCCTAGAACCAGAGCACTAACTCAGCTGAGAGCGCAGCCGGGGCCGGCAGGCATGGTTACAGAAAGCTGATACCTGATAGCAAGAGATTAAGATTAATCAGTGTTACAACACCTCGATTTGTTCATGTGTTTACTCCTACATCTCCTGAAGTGTTTCCTCGGGCATACCCAGCACCTTCATTCCTTGGCTATTTCACAAAGCAGTTCAGGGCACTTTGCATGTTGTAGGATCAGATCAAGTATTTGTAACAATATTTCACCTGTGCACAGTAAAAAGTTAGTCTTCTAAAAGAAGATAGTCAATAAATTTGTTTACTTATCTCTCTTCACGAAATCAACAAGTGTGGCTAACTACTTTTTGAAGATTGCCTTTTTTTTCCCCCATTCCTACAGTTAGACACTATCTATCCATTGCAAGAATATCTTGTTCCTGATGGCCGTCAAAGCATTCAAATGTAAGCTTTAAAAAAAAAAAGCTCACGTAACAGAACCTATAGCCGTTTGTATCCTACTTTCGTAGACCTAGGAACTATATTAGCAGGTCCCCAGTATTTTGGCCGATATTCACAGGAATAAATAGAGGTTTTGTCTCCCTAGCTTAAGACTTCTTAAAGGATGGGTGTTCGGCATTTCTGAAAACTCAGACCTGTTTAAAGATGTTTCATGGTGCATAGAAATCATTAATAACTTGAATTTCCTAACCTTCATCTAAGTGATTCCAAAATTGCATCCCTAGCCAAAGCAGAAGGGCCATTGTGGGTTTAAGTCCTACAAACTAAAAAGAAATGCTTTATCTTTAAAACATTATTTTGTAGTGTTTGGGCCTCTATATTTTTTAATTAGGTGCATCATGGGTATATTTTTTAATCTTTTACTAAACTTTATTAGAAACTTTTTCAAATAAACATATTAGAAGTAAGTTAACCTGTCTTAAACCTTTTAAGCTGCTATGATCTGTAACAATGATGTTGAAAAAACCAAAACCAGCTGCTTTAATGTTTTCTTATTTATGATGTTTAAAACCCCAAAGTACAACATACTTGATGAATGCATTCAATATCTTATGCATGACCGGGTTTTTTTGCTTCTTTCCCAGTGCAGGGGAAAGATCTTGTAAGATCTAATTAGCAACTGTGATTGAAATGTGCTATCAAAATGAAGAACAAATAAATAAAGTGAAATATATCTGTGGTGGTTTGGGTTTTTTTCCCCAGATGTACAACATTTCCAATTTGAGTTTTCACTTAGCAGAGGTCAGTGAAACAAACGGGAGACCTCAGAGTTCCTGAAGAAATGCTGAACCAAAGCCAAGGTGGTTGTTTTCAAGGCAGGAAACATTGCCTATGTGTCCATGCTCTGCGAGGGTGACCTCTTCTTACCTCATTTCTGCCAAATGATTAATGGTGACCACATTTGCTGGCATTGAATAGTGGACGATACCTGCACTACTGCTGTTCCCCTCTTTCAAGATAGATAGTGGAGCCTGTGTTCTCCATTCTGATCTATAAACACATTTTTAGATGTTTAGAGATTATTTATATGTTTGAAATCTGTTTTAGCCAGTGAAAGTCCTAGTTTCATTTTCATTCCTATTTGCTTTCCTTTCACATTCTTTCTTTCTCAGCTGCTACTCGTTTTCTTCCCCTGCTCTCATTTATTAATGGTCATACCAGCATTACTTTTGAAATATCCTAATGTGGGGGTTTGCCATCTTGTCCAGCAGGGTCCTGAGAATTTCACAGAATATAAACT